AAGACTTCACGCCAGTTTTCGAATCATTCTAAAGTAGAACGCATGATAATACGACACGGGCACCTCGATGCGATGTATCTTTTTGTTTTCTTACAAAAGGCTTGGCCGTCAAAAAGCAATCGAACGAAATGGATATCTACCAACCAAATCGACACAGACCAACCCAATACCCACGGGTCAAAAAATCCCCCCTTCGCGTTGCGGAGCACGCGGGTAACCCTAGTCAATAACCCAAGGAGGTAAGCTATTCCACATATCAATGACGCGGTTAGTAAAAAAGGATTGCCTTAAACGCGTTTTTGAAAATTTCTTTACCAATTTACATCCATGTCCTCTTGTAGAGTTCGAACTTATCGTGAATAAGCTCTTAAAATCTAGCTTATCAATACCTCTATAAATTTTGAACAATTCAATCAAATCACCTCTCACTCTCCGGTAATGGAGTGAAAACATATTTAACGAGACAAGCCTTTCTCTGTAAGTCATCCCGCGAAAACCATGCACCATCCTAGTGGCCTTCCTCTGCACACGCTCTAGAGACTTGGCGTCTTTTTTAAAGGGCGAGTACCATGCCTGTGCACAATACTCTAAATGTGGACGAACAAGAGAACAATAAAGTTTTTTCATAACGTCTTTACTTTTATAATTAACGTTTCTATATATTACTCCCAACATTTTCAGAGACTTTTTACGGGCTTCTTGACATTGATGACTGAATTTTAGATCATTTGTGATTAAAACACCTAAATCTCTTTCTTCAAAAACATTTTGCAGTTGACTGCCGTTTAAATAATATCGATCATTTTCATTTACCCCAACGCTAAGAACTTTGCATTTCTCTACGTTAAATTCCATCTGCCATTTTCTGCTCCAATTGAAAAGAATGTTTAAATCTGATTGTAATGTTTTCATGTCCTCGTCTGATGTAATTGCTTTTGCCAGCTTAATGTCATCAGCAAATTTCCAAAGCCTACTGCTTAAATTATTATCCAGAGAGTTTACAAAAATAATAAAGAGCAATGGGGCTAGAACCGTACCTTGTGGTACACCACTCTTAACCTCCGCCCACTCAGACTGTTGTCCATTCAAAACAACTCGCTGCTTACGTCCTACCAGCCAGGTCTCTATCCATCTAAGGAGGAAACCGTCTAAGCCATGACACTGTAATGAAACTAATAATCTTTGATGTGGAACCTTGTCGAAAGCTTTACAAAAATCTAAATACACTACTGCTACCTTCTGTCCCCTGTCTAATAGCTCTGTTACATATTCGAGAAAGTCTAGCAAATTTGTCAGACACGATCGTCCAGCTCTGAATCCATGTTGAGAAGGCAATAAAAGTTCATTTTGCTCTAAGTGATTCAGTATATTACATTTTATTATTTTCTCGAGTATTTTACAAGCGATAGAAGGTAAGCTAACAGGCCTATAATTTTCAGCCTTAGTTTTTCTACCCCCCTTAAAGATTGGTACCACGTACGCATGCTTCCAGTCTTCAGGTATAATACCTGTTTCAAATGAGTGTTTGAATATTATATAAAGAGGCACGGAAAGCTCTTTTGCAGCTTCCTTTAGTATTCTTGCTGAAATAGCATCGGGACCACAAGCCTTATTTGCTTTAACCCATTAGTGCCCAATGTTCCCATTTGGGAACATCGACAATTTTGGCTCTAGGCTCTGATCCTGGGATTGCACAGCGATTATGAATATTGGTTCTGGCATCTGAAGCCCTGAACAAAATTTAGCAGCCTAAAAAACTTGAATTTCACCCTTATGAAGCACCTCTTTTGATTTTTGAAATATCCCTTTTTTGCCACACTGTACCTTCATCAAGAAAATAATTTCCTTAAAATCGATTTCTTGATCGATTTCCTTATAATTTCCAGAATTGCTTCAACAATAAGTTCCAATTGTACGGGAGAAATATCAAAAGAAATGCTTCACCACAAAAGCGTCGGGGGCTTCCAAAATTTGGATGTTCCCAAATGGGAACATTGGGCACATCCACTGGTATGTCAGCTCATAATGGACTGACAATGGAAGGCAAAAGCGAAGCTCTTTTTCTCTCTCCTCGCTCTCTCTCATCTCTCTCTCTCTCTCTCTCTCTCTCTCTCTCTCTCTCTCTCTCTCTCTCTCTCTCTCTCTCTCTCTCTCTCTCTCTCCCAGTTCCTCCCTCCCTCTCTTTCTCTCACTCTCACTTGTTCTCAATTTCCACTGACTCAATTTGCACGTCCTCTCTGGCTGGTTCTGCTCTCACGCTAGGTCCTACACCCGGTGTGTCAAGTGACAGTATCGCTCACGTTACTGATGCTCGGATGATAGAGCGTCGTCTAGTCCAGTGTCATATCCGTCGGCGCCAATGTCAGCGAATGGAGTAGGGTCATAGGTATCGACGAGTCAAGAACGCTGGGCCAGGTGAGGGCAGAGCAGGGTGCGAGTCTCTTGGGCTGGGCGGAGATGTCGTCCTTCGGCTCCTGGAATGTCTTCAGACGCCTGCCTTGCACCATGTGTTCTTTGACAACTACTTCTCGTCGTATGCCTTGATGATAGCTCTCCGTCAAAGAGGCATCCGACTTCCGAGCAAGGGGCACTGTGCGCGACAACAGGCTGAAGAAGTGTCCCCTGCCTGACAACAAAACTGCTAAAAAGGCGCCCAGGGGACAGCATTGGTACCAATCCACTAACGGGGTGCTGGCCGTGAAGTGGAGAGACAACAGGGCAGTGACAGTGGTCACAAATCACTCGGGCATCAGCCCACTCAAAGACGTGCAGCGCTGGTCGGGTGACGAAAAGAAAAAAGGTGACGGTCAAGCAGCCGAACCTCATATACGAATATAACCAGTACATGGGTGGCGTAGACCTAGTGGACGGAGCGGTGGCGGCTTACAGGCCTGTGATCCGGTGGAAGAAATGGTACGGCACGCTCGTCACCAACGCATTCGGTCTACTGAGAGTAGCCAGCTGGCGCATGTACCGCAGCTGTACCGGGAGAAGTGTGGACCAGCTGGTGTTCACTCGCGAGGTCGCTTTGGAGCTCCTAAAAAAACCGAGACAAGAGCCATGTCCGCCAAACGTCACCGGCAGCGGACCAGGCCCCAGCAGCGGCCGGGTGACGGTGGTCTCCCGGACTGCACAAAACCACTTCATCGTCCCGGCTGCCACTCAAGGCCGCTGCAAGCTGTGTCAAAAAATACGCGTACAATGTGTAGCATCTGCCAAGTACGACTGCATACCACTGCAGCCAGAACTACCACACCTAGGCTGCCGCCACGGGGCTGGCACTGCAGACGCATATGTAGTATACACTGATGCTCTGACACTGCTGACTAATCCCGAGCAACGGGCACTGTGCGCGACACAGACTTGAGATGATGTCTCGCTTCGACAGGTGAGACACTTTGGTGATGGATGGAAAACTGGTATCGTTGGCTTGTGATTTATCGTTCTAAATGTCTCGCTCTACCGTAAGAGTAGAATAAAACGACTTTGGGTGTCAAAAATGTGTGTTGACAAGGGTCGATCAGTGAAGTGAGACCACGATCTCATTGTGGATAGTGACAAGGTCAAAAAGAAGAAAAAGCTCTTCTTTAAAACGTTGTATAATATGTGTTTCTACTGTTGCTTTCTTCGTTTCTATCCGCATACTGCATCCGCCTCTTACCCCCCATTTGTGCCCAATGTTCCCAAATGGGAACATAATTTTTCACCAAGTTCGAAATTTTTTAGGGTAAAACCAATGCCACAGCTGGAATCAGTGACGTCGAAAACCATCGGATCACCATTCGAAATATCAAATATCGCCGTATTTATATGCTTGGTCATTAATGGGTTAAGGCTTTCGAGATGTTTCAAGATGTCGGTTTGAACTAAATCGATAGTTGTAAGTTTGCTGAACAGTCTGGCATCATTTCTACTTATTGGCATATTTGCTAGACACTCATCAGTAAAAACACTTGAAAACTGCTCATTAAATGTCCTAGCTTTGAGCTTATCTTCATGATAAACTTGCCCATCTTTTTCTATTAACCCGATTCTTGGATCATGCCTGTTAAATTTATAAAAACCGAAAAACCGCTTGAGATCACCTCCACATTCATTTGCCAATCTAATCTCAGCTGCTCGTTTGGACTCTCGAATTATCTTTTTGAGTCTCGATCTGGCTTTGATATAATGCGATTTATTGTCAGCCGATGGAGCTGTTTTGAACAGACGAAATGCTGTTTTCTTTTCACTAAAACTCTTTTGCACATTACTGTTACACATTAACTTGGTTCCAAAGCCTGGGTCCAGCCCAACGTACTGTGTGCGTACAGTATAATTTGTGTGTAAATGTTTCCTGGAAGTGATGAAGTGAACGGGTGGTTCGGAGCGGTTCAAAAACAGTAAAAAGTTCGTCAAGAGGCGCGGGCAAAGTACCATTCAACTTTTTATGCATCAATAGCATCATTTGTAGTTTGCCCATGTCTCTCAGACGAAGGATTTTCAGCTTCTTAAAAATGGGTGCAGTGTGGGCGTTGCGAAGTTGCGACATTTTAGGACCACGCAGAGGCTCACGTATGACGTCAATGGTCAGTGACTTGATCTAACTTGAAAATGCGGTTTATGTACGAGATCTGGCTGGAATTAGAAGTCAGGCACGCCAAGTTTCAGCTCCCTATCGCTGGCGTATTCTGAGCTATCGCGAAAAAAAAAACTATATAGGGAGGGGGAGGAGGAACTCTCTCGGCCGACGTGGGCTAACTCGCTACGCTAATATCGTAACACTGGACAGAGAGCATGTCTCGCTACCCAGAGGTGGGTTCTCAGTGCCACGGTCCTCTCTGGAGACCACGTCAGACAGTCGGGCACTGCCCTGTCGGTGACCTTATCTGTCTCACTGAAGTCATTACTCGACCTGATTTGACCTGATCTGACCGGGGCGCGGCCCGATCTGACCTGTGACCTGATCTGACCGGGGCGCGGCCCGATCTGACCTGCTGGCGCCCCCGGCTGACCGGCAGGCGGCCTCGGACGCGGATGGCGGCCTGGGCTGCCGGCTGCTGCAGGCCTTCTACAAGTACGCAGTGCTCAGCTCGTGGACCTGGATGCTGGCCGTCGGACTGGGACTGCACAACTCGATCGCCCGCCCGTTCGCCAAGCAGTTCAGCGCCTGGGTGTTCTGCACGCTCGGCTGGGGTGAGCTGATCAACCGCGCCACTGTGCGCTCAGCTCGCACAGTGGGCCAGTCATCACACCACGTGGGCAGCGGAGCCTCTCTGGCAGTGTGCGTGCACAATGTAAAGGTCGGGCGCTGTAGTATACCGATATATCGCCGCTCGGGTGGCTGGGCTGGCCGCTGATTAACTCGGTGACAGTTTCAATTTCGCTATCTCTAGCAGAAGAAGTACGACCCCGGGAAATAATTAAGCTCTGGAGACGCATGAAGCGGTGTCAGGGAGCGGGCTCGTTTGTCGGTCAAAGGGCGCTGATTCCAGCTGACAGCCGTTCAGACCCGTTCAGTGGGGGAGGGCGGTGAGGCAGACATTGCGGCGACGGAAAGTGGCCGGGACGGCCATTGGGAGTTACGGCGCGCTCCTAATGGAGTCGCCTCTCAGCCACCTGCACACTGCACAGTTCGGAGGTGTCGGCGGGAGGTGGCGGGAGGCGGACGGAGGTGGCGGAAGGTGGCGGGAGGCGGGAGGTGGCGGGAGGCAGGAGGCGGGAGGTGGTGGGAGGCGGCCGGGGCCGGGAGATGGGAGGCGGGAGGTGGGAGGCGGGAGATGGGAGGCGGGAAGTGGGAGGAGATGAGAGGCCGCAGTAGGCGGGAGGCGGCAGGAGGTGGCGGCAGGAGGGGCAGTAGCTGGGAGGCGGGTGGCGACAGGACTCTCCAGTCGGTGATCCGGTCAGTTACATTATCTATTCCGTCACTCTGTCTTAGAACTGATTCGGTTGCAGGATGTCATTTTAGTTCGCTCACCTGGTATCACATTTTTATTGGTTCTGTCATTTCGCATCATTTCTTAACCCGATACATCACTTTGTCCAAATAAGACGAACTTTGCCATTCAACAGATATCGCTTGACATCCATGACAACAGTTGCTGGCAGATCAAATACAACCTCTGCGTGGCGTTGAAAAAGGCAGTAAACGAAAAGTTATGGCGATAAATCACCGAGATTTAGTTTAAAGTTTGGGAAAATATAGAACAATATATTTTCTTTAAATCGAGATTAGCCATTTAATTTTCCAGACTACTGGCAGCCTAAAAACGTTTCCGGCATGTGTTTACATCTTTTCTGTTAGTCTCTATGCTATCATCTATCTAATATTTCAACCATATACCATTTTTGGCCAAAAACTTTGAAATCATGCTGCACTAGAACCTCGATATCTAAAAAAATTCTAGACTGACTTTTAAGAACTTTTTCTCGATATACTTCAGTCAGTTCGAAACAGGCACTCGAAATTTGACGTATCTACGGCTAGCCGTTTATATCGTAGCGAAAAATTTGGAAACGTTCTTCGCCCCCCCCCCCCGCAAATCGCTGGCTAATATGTACTTGCACCTACGATAAACATTTTCGTATTGCGGCGGCGCAAGAGAATTGTTTAACCCTATACCGGGCGGGGGGGGGGGGGGGGTTTCTTGTGCCATTGCCAAACGCCGCAAGACTGAAAGCTCATACTTGGTGACTTTTTCTAAACACTCATTGCGCACATTTTGACAAAAAAAGTTGCCGGGTCAGGTCAGGTCAGGTCACCAGAGGCGGTTTGGTGATCCCACCTCAGAAAAGTTTGCAATCACGCCAGAGCTAGAGTTTTTGGCGGATCAATTTCTTCTCTTCAGGTTTTAGTTAGGGTACCAGTATGTGCAAGTTGTATATCTCAGAATTTTTATATCTGTGACCTGAGGTCAGGCCAGACTCGTGACCTTTACATTGCAAGCCTATGGGAAAATATTGAAACGCCTCCTGCTTCGTGTAAACGAGTCGAAACCACCCTAATCTTTCAGTATTATGGAAGATTATCTCATCGGTGATGATCCTGGTGCCGCTAATTGACAGGGACACCGGAAAAGGTCATCTGAGGTCATGTGACGTCACAAATCGTTTTTCTGTCAATAAATCACGACATGATGTTGCTAAAGACTTGTAAGTGGTACCAAACTGTTCGCCTGGTCAAAGCGCGTCGTTTGGTATTCAGCATGACCATACCCCACAACCTCATTGATGAATGACCTGACCTTGACCTCGGGTCAAATTTCAAATTGACCTGTGAAAGTCATCGCATACTTATTTCGCATCGCCTCGACGAGAGCAACAAAGATGTACTAGTTTTATGTCTCTATGTTTCTTAGTTTAAAAGTTATATAGGTAACTAATTCCAAAACATTTTATCGTTGATGACCTCTGGTGACCTCAATATTGACCTGACCTGAAAGTGTTTTATGTAAAAGTTGTAGATCTTTAAACGACCTATCAAACGCCGTTTGCCGTTTGTCGCTGCGATGTGTAGTTTTTGAAATCTGAAGGGGGGCCGAAAAGGCCCTCCCGCCCAGAATCGAACCTTTCAGAGCCCGCCCGGAATAGGGTTAATCTGTATGCCATCGTTCAACATGTTAAATTAACATCCCTGCCTTTTGGGAAGGTTTTTAGTAGATATGCGCTAGTAGGTAGGTGCTTAGGTACTTCTCTGGTACATGACGAGAGGTATCTCGTCACTCGAACGATAAACGATTACCGATTAGCGTGTCGCCGACATAGCGTGACAAGAACAACTAACAACAGCCGGCTAGCCTGTGATCGTTTGCAAATGACCCGGCTCTGATACCTACATAAGCCTCACATTATGCGCACTTTGTGCATGAATAACCACAGCAGTGACGTAAATGAAAGGCCGCCCTGTGTATGGCGCTCCGCTCAGAAAGGTCAATGGGAATGAGCGGGAACAGGCTATCAACAACTGATCTCAGCCCAGCTATACATAGGCGCTTGTATAGGCGGGGTATCGGAAAACTGAGTCTGGTAGAGTCAGAAAAATCGGAAAAATTGAGTCTGACGCAGCGGTTTGTGTTACTCGGGGGTTGACGTCAGGTGGTACACAAACAAGCTGCTCTGCTTCGGCCGAAGCGCCGGTGTCGGCCTGCCCGGCGGTCCTGCAGCTGGGGCTGGCACTCTCCACCAGCAGTGCTCGCCACGAACCACAACAGCCCAGCCCAGTCCCTACACCAGCAGTGCTCGCCACGAGCCACAACAGCCCAGCCCAGTCCATACACCGGCAGTGTTCGCCCAGTCCCTACACCAGCAGTGCTCGCCACGAGCCACAACAGCCCAGCCCAGTCCCTACACCAGCAGTGCTCGCCACGAGCCACAACAGCCCAGCCCAGTCCAGTCCCAACACCAGCAGTGTTTGCCACGAGCCACAACACCGCAGCCCAGTCCGGCCCAGCATTGCTCGCCCAGTCCCTACACCAGCAGTGCTCGCCACGAGCCACAACAGCCCAGCCCAGTCCCTACACCAGCAGTGCTCGCCACGAGCCACAACAGCCCAGCCCAGTCCAGTCCCAACACCAGCAGTGTTTGCCACGAGCCACAACACCGCAGCCCAGTCCGGCCCAGCATTGCTCGCCCAGTCCCTACACCAGCAGTGTTCGCCACGAGCCACAACACCGCAGCCCAGTCCTTACATCAGCAGTGTTCGCCCAGTCCTTACATCAGCAGTGTTCGCCCAGTCCCTACACCAGCAGTGTTCGCCACGAGCCACAACACCCCAGCCCAGTCCCTACACCAGCAGTGTTCGCCCAGTCCCTACACCCCAGCCCAGTCCCTACACCAGCAGTGTTCGCCCAGTCCCTACACCCCAGCCCAGTCCGGCTTAGACCCAGGGGGTAACGGACCGCTGCAGCCCGTAACCGTTCATGGTAAAAATGCCACGGCCCAGTCCGGTCCAGCCCGTCAAAAAATCCATGATCTAGAATAGTTATGTTTTTTTTTTTTGTCCTAGTTGCGACCCCCTGAGTCCATTTTAAAGTTCTGGCCAGGCCCGTTCACAGCCCGTTGATTCCTCATATGTGAGGGAAAAGCCCAGCCCGCAGTCCAGCTCAGCCCATGGCCCGTTAAGCTGGCGCGGCCCATGGCGAACAATATCCACACTCCACAGCCCCAGGCTGAGTCGATCCGCCCCCCCCCCCCCCCGGGCAGTTACAGGCGGTGTGTACTGTGTCCCCTCCCCACCAGAACGCCCCAGGCGGGGTCGGTCCCCCACACCGGACAGCCCCAGGTGGGGTCGCCCCCCCCCCGACACTGCCCAGGTGCTGATGAGCGCAAGATCATCCCCGCCAGGTGCTTTACGTCCCGACTAACTGCCTAGTGTGTACTTATCCCACAATTCTGCCAAAGTGACATGCTGACGCAAGTCAGTCATATGATAAGTTAGCATTACAGAACGCTTCAATTTTTGTTTTCCATGTTTTAACAAAATGTGTTATAAACGGTCCGCGAAATAAGGACAATTTTGTGTTTATTTGGGAACAGCATGAATACCTGAGGAATGGGTCGGTTTCGATAGCTAATTCGTCAAAAACCTCCATCCCCAGTCACCTGAGCTCTGATACCTTATTGTTGCGTGACTTTTACACGTGTCATTAAGGATTAGGGTAATTAAGTTGGGTGGTACATTTAAAATATGTGTAGGCATCTGAAAATTAAATATGAGCATTGGTATTCTCTTCCCGTTGCTCAAATAAGATCACGGTGTTTTACTCCATTGATTGTTTGCTATTAAGCAATAATGATCTTTGATAACGTCACGCGTCAGATATGTTGATGTAATGGCGGAAGGTGTACCGAGGTCCACCTCCATCGGCGCTCCCGTGCAAATGACCGGGGCCTCCCCGCGGGCGGCAGAGGCGACGGCAGACATGTCGGGTCTCCTGAGCAGACCCGACCGGGTCTCCCAAACAGCCCTGTCGGTCCTTCTGAACGGACCGGCCGGGTCTCCCAAACAGCCCTGCCGGTCCTTCTGAACGGACCGGCCGGGTCTCCCAAACAGCCATGTCGGTTCTCCTGAACGGACCGGCCGGGTCTCCCAAACAGCCATGTCGGTCCTTCTGAACGGACCGGCCGGGTCTCCCAAACAGCCCTGTCGGTCCTTCTGAACGGACCGGCCGGGTCTCCCAAACAGCCCTGTCGGTCCT